ACTTTTTGCGCAGCAAATAATTCGCCAGGGGACGACGGTACTATCTCATCTAAGTGCTCTATCGTAATCATTTTGGCTTTTGTGGCGGCACGCCGCGACTGCCGCCTCTTAAAAACAGCCCCAGAACAACAATAACACCACAACACACCACACCACAATAAATAAAACAACATAAAACAGCAACCGCAGCAGATATGACATGAAAAGCTAAGTAAACATTTCGTTGCTACTTGAGTTTTGACACAATTCGAGGCCTGGAACTGTCGAGGTTGCGGCGGGAGTCGATCCTGGTATCCCCTACGAGTTCCGAGCAACACCTATTATCCTATGGTATTTGATGTAAATGTTATATCCCCCTTCGATTGGTGCAACCCATTTATTTTTGCTAGAAAAAAAGGGTGTCAAGAATTCATGGGGTTTATCTATCGAGATATGCCGGGGCAGGCACGATCTTCAGATAGAAGCCTTGTTTACCCAGATATTGTCTATTGTTCTGGCGGAGTTATGCGATCGGTGGAAGTATGTGAAGGTTCTATATTTGTCTGCTTAGGGCTAGACAAACAATCGATAATAAAGCAAAGTCTATAGTGGTTATCGTAGGTCACACTATCCCCTCTATATATACCGGGCGATGTTTCCAGAACTTTGGCGAGTCACTAGAGTATCCACTCTGATAAACAGGCTTTGATCCTAATTCCCACATAGATCAGTCTTTATCGGGAAGACGATTTTCGTTGCCAGCTTATTGTTTCATGGGGTCAGCCGATAACCCGGACATCTCCGATTCCGATTCCGAATCCGAATCCGATTCCAGTTTTCAGCCGACTGACCGCCCCTCGGAAACAGCATCGCAATCGGAGCCCCTAAACACCTATAGAGCCGCATGACTTTCTAGCGATATGGATACAGGTCGCCACCGCCACCGCCATGGTAATAATTCAGTTTCAATCTGCTGCTAACTTATGCTTATTTTTAGATCTTATACAATGCGTCATTTTCAGGAGATTAGTTCGGCATAGTACTAACATACGTACAATCGGCGAAGAGAGGTCAAGACCGGTCCCGGGTCCAAGTAGTTCCAGCCGGACCGGCGAGACGCCACGGGAACTAATTAGACTGCTTCCAGACGCGCCCTACTGAACCGTGAATACACACAATACTATATATGAATGTAGATGTACTCCATCGGGTCCATCCATTGTCAAGTTCGATCCGGATCGAGACTTGGCCTATAGTTTGCGTCACCCTGGTGACTTGTGTCACCGCAAGTGGGGTTTTATCTGGATCGGATCGTGTCAAATGTCCACGTACTGCCGATTTCTTTGGGTGCCACGACCCTATCGGGGAACTATGCATGCGGCCATTTGGCACGAACCCCGGGGGTGACGTAATTGTTTGGTCAATGAAAAATGCATATTCGTGAATAGGCGAAAGTACTTCTTTCCACTGGGAATCAAAACAAAGACGTTGCACTTTCGGTTGTTTGTTTTTTCGGGGCCAGGGCCTATCGTCTATTAATCAATTTCAGAGAAATGGGAATTTCGAAATGGTATATCCCGCCATCCGGCCATTATCGCTCGGGAAATCCTTTAGCATACTTTTTGGATGCCTCTCAGAGGCCCTCCCATGCAACCTCGCATCCCGTCGAGCAATTGCAATTAATTAAAACCTGATTAATAGTCGGCTGATTAGCACACCTCGACTGCCCGGAATGCGACCACGTGCCGGCCGGATTTCGTAATCCCCAGTAGTTGAGTATTCCACAGGTGCATCGGTCCACTGCCAAGAATTCTCTGGAAGCGGCCCAAGTTCCGCTTTCTTTTAATAGAATCTTATGCCACAAATCAGGGTCGGAATGTATACTAGATGCACTGAAATGCAAAGAATCGCCCAAAAAAACGCGCAGAATAAAATATGTTTAATCAGAGCTGGAAATCGGGAATGGTGTACATACTATGGTACTATGGTGTGTCCAAAGTGCCCCAGTCAGACGCATTTATCATTAGACCAATGACAGCGCCTTCAGGTGCACTGGTGTAGGTGTACTGGTCCACATAGTATACCATATATATGTATATGGACAGTTCGGAATATAGCATTGTGGAGTATGCGGACCACGTCAATGGCTCGCCTAGGTGATACGGATGTGTGCGGCATTCGAGAGGAGATCGGAATGGATCGGTCCGATTCGGCCAGAGGCTCTCAGCAAGGGGGGACTAAGCCCTAACACATGGGCCCGGCTAATGGTATCAATTATAATACTATATTCGCGGCTCTATTATCAGCAGCAATTAGAATATATAACAATCTTTTATAGTAGGCCTTTTGTCATGGATCGTCAGCCGATTTCTGGAAGAAGCATTTATAATAATTAGTCTGAATAATCTGCGGGTTTAATGACCCTTTCGGCTAATTTATAGTTTATTTTGTTAGTTCTTATCAAAATCGAAATTAGGTTACATCGTCCTAATAAAGATTAGAAGCTTTTAATTGGGGCTTGGATGGATTAATTGGTACTTAAGTGCTAGGATGATCTATGGGTGATTCCTCTGAAAAATACAAATGAAAGTCATCTTCAGCTGGGAAATCATAGAGCTAACAGACTTTAAGAGGCCTGAGTAGCCCCCACTCTGGAAACCCCACCTGTAGAGCCTCTGATCTATTCTCTATACAGCCATAGAGATATAGCTACCAAGTCTAGGCTATATTTGCGGCGTCGACTGCGACGCCTGCTGAGGCAGAGACCCTTATCAGGCCATTCCGGCTTATATTTAGAGGAGTCGCCTGGCCCTCCACAGTTTCCCAAGCGACGCGACCGGCACAGCAGGTGTCCAGCCCCCAAAATCTATACAGAAGCCGCACTTGCACCTGGAATTCAACTTGCACTGAATCCAGAATGAAGCTGGACGTGGAGAGCGAGAAACAGATGCAGCGAGGACGAGTGGGAGTGGGTCCTGAGCCGCCCAAGTACCTCAACGAGGACTTCTTCAAGGCCGCCCTGGAGGACGGTCTGCGGGACATGCGGGTGGACATCAAGAAGATCATATTTGCAGAGTCGAGCGGCGGGGGCGGCGAGAACTACTGCAGTAAGATCTACAGGGCGAAGGCTCTCTACCGGAGCAGCAAGCGGCAGCTGGACGAGGAGCTGGCCCTGATCGTTAAGAGCATTGCCATCACCCCGGCCACCCAGTTCCTCGAGGAGCTGGCCGTCTACCTGCGCGAGAAGATCTTCTACTTCGACGTCCTCGGCAAGCTGGAGGTCCTCATCGGCGACGGCTCCAAGTTCGGAGCCAAGTGCCTGTACACCACCCGGGAGCCCATCCAGACCATCGTCTTTGACGACCTCACCCAGTACGGCTACAAGCTGGCCAGCCGCCAGAGCGGCCTCAACGAGGAGCACTGCGTCGTGATCCTCAAGAAGCTCGGAAAGTTCCACGCCAGCTCCATGCTCCTGGCCGAGAAGGTGAGTTTTTGCAAGCACTTGGTACTTTAAGAGCTGGACCGGAAGCGGGGGTCAGAGATCTGTGGTATCGCGGGGGCAGTCTGGTCACGAGACGATTCGGCCAGAAGATTCCAAAGTTCAGTGCAGCAGAGCTTATAGAATTCAGAATTCCAGAATCGAATCGCAATTGAATTAGTACGTCGTCCGCTTGATTCATTATTTTGATTTGTTGGCTGTGAGTCGGCCATTACACAATCGGTTTGGAAAAAGCACACACTAGCACTATATGTAGTATAGGGGTATTCGAAATCGGCCGGATCTAAAGTGCCACTCGATTGAGAATCACCAAGTAATCAGTGATGTTGCCGCCCGACTTTATCATGAATGAGAAATATGATGACCCAGCACCGACGTCAATTCCAGATGGGATTCGGAATGGGCCTTAGATTTCTTAGCAATAGACTGTAGACTCTAATGGATGATCAATCCTTTGCCAGGAGCCCAGTGTCCGGGAGCACTTCACCACAGGCATGCTGGACGAGAACTACATCCGGACGAACGAGCGCTTCATCAACTTCATGACCCTGCAGCTGCGAACCCTGGCCAATGTGGTGGCCAAGTGGCCGGGCTACGAGGTGCTGGCCACCAAGCTGCATCGCCACTGCGACAACATCAAGGAGAACCTGGTCACCACCGGGCGGCCCCTGCCCGGCGAGATCACGGTGCTGAACCACGGCGACCTGTGGGTGAACAATTTCATGTACAAATACGACGACTTGCAGCCTACAAAGCCGTTCGATGCCATCTTCGTAAGTGATATATTTTTCGGAGAGAGACTCCTCCTAACATAAGCCTTGTCCCTGTCCAGGTGGACTTTCAGAACAGCTTCTTCGGCAGTCCGGGCTGCGACATTAACTTCTTCCTGAACAGCAGCGTCCAGCTGGACGTGCTCATCCACCGGCGGGAGTTCCTCATCCAGACCTACTACAATTCGCTGCGGGACAGCCTGGAGCGGATGCACTATGAATTCGTGCCCAGCTACGCGGACATTCAGCACGAGATCCGGGCCAGGGAGCTGTACGGGTTCTTCTCCTCCTATGCCTTCCTGCCGATGGTGACCATGAAGAAGGAGGACTCCTACGACATCAGCATCGAAGCCCTCACGGACCAGGACTTTGCCAAGAAGAAGGTCCAGCTGATGTTCTCCTCCAATCCCCGCACCACCGACACCCTGCGCTACGCCCTGCGCCGCTTCGACGAGTTGGGAATATTCGATTGATCCCCTGCTCCGCAAACTCATCGGTAACTAATCGATGGCCAGACTCCCTTTTCTTAGTCCTTTAGTAGGCTATGCCGCTCTTTTTTTTGTTTTTGTTTTTAAAGTACGTAGTCTTAAGTGCATTCTAACTATTAAATACAATATCTTTTTTATAAAACAATAAACCAGACTCGCTGGGGAAAGCTTCAAATCTATAACAATCGATTATTGTTCATTTCTCTCATAAATATTTATTCTAAAAGGCAAGTTGGTTAAAAAAAAAGAGTGAAAATTAATGAATCTCTTGGGTCAGCTCTCTGACTTTAACTAGAACTCCCAGGTGGGCAGCCACTTGAGCTTGTGCATCGTGGAGTTCGGCTCGTTCGCCATCGGGCCGGTCATTCCGTAGGCCAGTGGAGAGAAGACGGCGAAGCTGTAGACCAGCACGGAGAGGACTCCTCCGAGCAGGACGTGCTGAACCCACTTGGGCAGGGGCCTGATGATGTAGTTAAAGATGATGCCCGTCAGCATGGAGTTGAAGATCAGGGCCGGGAAGTAGTGGTGGAAGTAGAGCACTCGGCCCATGGCCCAGAACGGCAGGTAGTGAAGCACCCAGCCCACGAAGAGCCAGGCGGCGGCCTGCAAGGATCTCGATGGCTGGCAAGGGGCCTGCGACTCAGACTTCGGCGCGCTGGGGGGAGTGGGGCAGCAGCTGCAGATGTCCGTGGTGGAGGGCTCACTGTCCTCGCTCTGCGCTGGACACGGGGAGCGGCGGCTCTCTTGGGCCAGGGCCAGAGCCTGGGCCTCGGCCAGTCCATCCCTGCGCTGCTGGACGATGGCGTTGTACATGAAGACCACGACGAAGAGGGCCAGGAAGATGAGGTTGCTCCACCAGATCAGCGGATTGCCCAGCAAGTAGATACGGTACTGGCTGCCGGAAAAGAACTGGCCCTAAAAAAAAACCAGAAGGATTAAATCCTTTGGCCAAAAGGGCTAAAGACTCTGCCTACCTTGTAATTGATTGGCCACTGCCATGGACGACTAGTGACCTCGCCCTCCTTGGGCTTGAGTCCTGCGTTGCCCTGAAGCATCACGGCGTGGGACTCCAGGAAGCGGGCAAAGAATCCAGGAGCGTAAATACTGAAGCTGACACTGGGCACTGGGATTGGGCGTACAAATTAGGGATTAAAAGCCTAAGACTCCAAGTCTCCAACTTACGCAGCTCGTGCTCATTGTCCTCGACGTTCCACTGGGAGTACTTGTCACGTATGTTCGGGTTGCAGGACACCTCCTGCTGCTCGAAGCCCCACTTGGGCAGCTGCTTGCCGCTGGAGGTGAGGGCGCAGTTCTGCACCATGTGGATGAACCGCAGCCGGGACGTCACCGTGTGCACCGTCTCGTTGATCTTTCCGCCCACAATCATCACTCGCCAGACGTCATTAACGTCGCCGACGCCATTCTAGGAGATAATCTATGGTTAAGGCTATCCTTCCCATTAAGTAAGTCAAAGTACATACCTCTCCGTATCCTGTGACCTGGAGATGCTTCTTCGTCATGGGTGAGGGCTCGGCATGGGAGTGGAGGTTCCTCTTCGTCATCAGATGCTCCAGTCGGATGAGGTCTCCGTGCTTGAGCAGCTGCAGCTTGCCCTTGGCCACCTTCTGCTTGTTTTGGGGCTTTATCACGAACTTGTTGTTCTCGTCCTTGTGCGTGTAAGTGGTGATCTGCAAGGATTTTAGGAATATTTAAAACCGTCGATCCTCAATCCTTAGACTTGGATCTCACCTGCTGTTGTCGGGCGCCCACTCCTTTGGGGTACAAGTGGAAATGGGAGTGAAGATAGCCACCTCCGGTCTTGTGGTTCTTGATGGTGACCACTGAGCCGTAGGCCACGTCCCGGGGCATGCTGGCATTGTAGAGCGAGTTCCCGATCAGGCGCGACTGGAAGGCGGAGCTGTAGAATCCATCCCCGTTGCCGCTTTGGTTCAGGACAGTCAAATGGATGTAAAAGAAGACGGTGTAGAGGAAGACGGGCCAGAAGATGAGGGCGATGGCCCGACAGGCCACCTGCTTGGCGGTCTCCCAGATGGGCTTCTCCAGATCGCCCAGGATGATCCACAGCTCCGTGGCGGTGTGCAGGCCCACCAGAAGCACCACAAACAGGCCCACGAACTTGACGCTGATCGTGCAGGACAGCATGGTGCCGGTTAAGAAGAGCCACGCCCACCAACGCAGGCTGTAGGATGCACCACTAGCTGTGGCCTTCGAGATCTTCACCATGCCCCACACGGAGGCCATCATAAAGAAGAGCAGAATGGGGTCGAGCAAGATGTACTGGTTAAGGGTAAGTAGTCCCACATCTGTAAAGGATCATGTTTTAAGTAAGCTGAAAGGATAACAGTAAACGTATCCTACCAAAAACCAAATAGGCAGCCGACAAAATGGCTGCTTCGTGGGATCTGGTTAGATCGTAGACCGTATCGAAGCCCATGGGCATAATGAGGGCCCCCAGGGTGGTGCAGAACTAAGGATTAGAGTGTAAGGATACAAAATAGTCACATATCTCAGCCACTTACGTAACGCATGCCCTGGTAACGGGTTTCGTTGTATTTGTCACCTGGTTTATCGAAAGCGAACTTTCCATCGTAGCCCGTTAAGTAGCCCGAGAGTCCAATTAGCATCTGGAAGGGATTATCATATACTACCATCAATAAGAAATCAAGAAGAAACTCACCTTTCCCAGCGGTGGGTGGACATCGAAGAAGAAGGTGCGGTTTATGTACCAACTCCCCATCTTTCCAAAGTGGGTCTCGTCCCAGCTGGTGAGAGAATACTTTTTCAAGAGACTGTCTTCGGAGTTTAATGTGACCCACTTACCAAATGTGATCTGGTTCGGTGACCTTGTAGAATCGGGTGGCAAAGGTGATCAGGAAGACGGTGGCCAAAAGCAGACCCCAGTTCCTATCCCAGAAGAATTTGTTCAGAAAGGTGTAGAAATGCGTGGGCCACTTACCAGTTGGCTTTATTGCTGGAATCGGTTGCATTCTTAGCGGGATTCTTGGCCAGTTCCTTGGTGGAACCTCGCCGCGAGCACTTGGAAGCCTTCACCACACTTGCAGCCATTGTTTTAAACTTAATTTGTTTTTATTTTAAATTAAAAATAAATAAAAAATAGGACATGTTCCTCGGACGCAGAGAAATGCGCTGAACACGTCAACAAAAACAAACGAACTGATCGCTGGAGAATGCTTTCTCTTTCCGCTCGCTACATTCTTTCTTTGTTGTTTTTCATCGTTTGTGGCCAAAACCGGTCTTGGACCGGGCTTTAACTGTGCTTTGAGCCAAACAACTTTTGGGCCAGCTGCTTGTGTCGGAGGTGCTTTTGCCGCTTTTATCGATAAATCTGTGCCATCTCTTGGCTTCTTCGAGGAAGTTAAGATTATTTACTTTGCTTTCGAAGAAAGTGGCCATTTTGGTTTTTAAAGTTGGTGGCGCCCCTGGCGGACAGCAGAGGAAGTCTTCTTGAGCCAAAAAGTATGCTATTTTTTTGAACTTTTAAATATTTTTCAAGAAATGATAATAAAACTGGTAGATTCTTTTATTTATCAACAGTTTTGATAATTTCAAAAACTAGATATAAAATATATGATAATAATTTATATTTTATTATAGTACGTCTTTAAATTATAACCATTAATAGCCTCAACTTCCGTAACCATTATTACCTTAATGTTTTTCTTTGTTTCCTCTTAATTTTTCCTCTTTCCTGAGAAAACAAAAGAAGTGAACCGAGTTTGGTAACAAATTGAAATGTGGAACCGGTTCTAGGCCAATGTTAATGGCCAATTTGGTGGCCTCCCGATTCTGGCTTGAATGCATTTGTCCCTCAATTCGTTCTGCTGCTATTAGGGAAAATTGGCTTGGCCGCAGCAGACTTCTTAGCCGCATTTAACACCCGCAAATGGCCGGCTATTGGACTATTTCGGCCCAATCTTCGAGCTGGCCAAGTCAAGCCCGTTGTTACCTGTTTGCTTGACCGGCTTTCTGGCTTTCGGCCAACTTGCTAGGTGCCTTACCTCTTCTTGCAGTGAGAAAAACTAGTCTTAACTGGTGTTATAGTTTATTATGGGAGTATGGTGCTTCAGGAAACCCTTTTTTGGCAGTGTATGAGGGGCAAGACGAACATGAACGACAACACCGATGCGGATGACGATAAAGCGTTAGGGTTGGCCGGGCTCTGCATTGCTCTTGGCCATCGTCTCGCTTTCTGGCTCCCCTCTCTTCCTGGCCGGCTCGATGCAGTCCGATGAGGAGGCCACAAGAAGTCCAGAGGCAGTCCGAGTGGAAGCTTAAGTCGCGGGGCAGAGCGGCTTTAATCGCTTTGATCTTGGCGCACAAGAGTTAATTGCACGCTTGCTGCACAGTTGCTGTTGCTTGTGGCTTCTCTTGTTGCATTCATGTTGTTGTTGTTGTTGTTGCTGTTGCTGGTGCTCCGGCTTGTTGCTTCCACAGGCCGCACAGCAATTTGTTGGATAGAAACGTTGCCGGCACGCGGTGTGGCAGCTTCAATCAAATTAATTGTTCTTCGGCAATACCCTTGTGTTTTGGGGGAAGGGTTGCCAACCAAACTGGCCAAGAGGGAAGGCCTCTTCCTCTGTCCTCTGTCACGTAAGCCCAAAAGCACGAAGTAAGCAATATTGTAGAGCATCAGCCAGTGGCATAGGGGGAATCCCACAACCTACAGAGTCTTTCCCATAAACTGTGTGACACTCTTCGAGGGCCGGACAGGCTGAGGGCAAAGAGGTGGCCACAGGTGGGGGATTAGGTACAGGTGGCACTGTGGCCTGGTGCACCCGCGGAGCCGAGCCGGGCTCTGTCATTAGCCATTTTCCTTCTAATTGCCGTGGCTCTGACCGCAGACAATAGCAACAATTTTTGCCTTTTTGTTGCAATTAAACGAATTCGCGGCAATTTCCTCCTCCTGCCCTCCTGTCCAGCTGGGCTTCCCCCTTTATGCTTTTTTTTTGTCATCACTCTTGTCGGGGCTACTTTCGCATCATTAACCCATGGGGGATGGGGTCCCGACTCCGGGGACATCGTGAGAATCCCAGGGACGGCATTTAAAACACACTTTTTTCCATTCAATTAAATTACTTTTCTTTTATTTACACTTTTCAATCAAATTGTATTCCGAGCTTAGAACTAACTCATTATGATAATACGCTTTAGAAAAAAAAACTATATACACTTAGACTAAACTAAATAACTACTAATAGTATTTAATATTAAAAAAAAAAATGGGAAATGGGGTGGGCGAGGGATCTTTAAAGCTATTAACACATTTCGGTTTTATTGAATATTTTTTTAGCCTTACAACTAGACGTACATGGAGTCATCATGTACTTAGATCAGAGCTTAAAGCCTTGTGGGGTCAAGAGTTGTATGTACATTCGGGTTGGGAGATCCCTACTCAGTCCTTCGGCTGTTGTGATTTCTAGATCCTCGACTGGTTTGGATTGTAGACCGGGACATTGTGGAAACTGATGCCGGCATAGAGGGGCGCCGTGGAGGAAGCACTGCCGCCACCTCCTCCTCCCATCAGTCCCCCCGTGGACTTCCCGCTGGTGTAGAGATGCTTTTTGGGCAGTGCCCCTGCCGACTTGTGGGCAGGGCAGGACTGCGTGCAGCCCGGCGCTCCCAGCCGGTTCCGATAGCTCTCGCAGGTCTTCCGCGACCACACCCACAGCCCGGTGAGGGTACCGCCCACCAGCTGGAAGAAGATCCTCAACAGGGCCGGCCAGGCGCTGAGGGGAGCCGGCGAGGCGCAGTCCTCCGGCGTGGAGCAGCCGGGCACGGAGTCCACGTAGCGCTCGCACAGGGCGGCGATCACCCCGGCGGCCGTGGGCGCGAAGTACAGTAGCGAGAAGAGAACGAATCGCTTCCGGATCTGTCCAAAGCGGTGGTGGGCCAGCGCCAAGGTTGGCTGGAGCTGCTGCTGCAGGGAAAGCAGGGAGCGTGATGCGCGCAACGTGAAGTAGAGGCCCAGGAGGAGCAGCACTAGGGCGGGCAGCTCAACGAATCCCGGCGCCGTGCACATGCCGGTGAGCTCACTGGGACGCACCCGCTCGAGGAGTAAAGCGGCGATGGGCGGGGCCAGGGGTGGCACCCAGGCCAGGACGTGGAAGAGGCCGGATCTTTTCTCCAGGGCCTCGCTGGACCACTTCTTGTGAGACGAGAGGTAGAAGCAGAGCGCGAAGATGAGCCACCAGCTGGCGGCGCACAGGCTCAGATACGAGGTGGTGATGTAGGAGGCCAGGCAGGGAGGGGTGAGGAGACATCCCTGGCGCAGCCGGGGCACGTCCTGCATCTGTGCCGCCAGGCTACGGGCCTGGTTGTGAAACACGATCCTCTCCAGGTAGCAGACGCTGAACAGGTTGTAGCAAAGACAGAGGAAGAGCACTGGCCGCTCTGGGTAGCCGAACCGGGTGGGCTCCGCCCAGAAGGTCACCAGCGCGAACAGGGTCAGGACGAAGCAGACGGCGGAGAGGCCTAGGATCAGGCTCTCTGTTAGCTTCTTCTGGGCCGTGGTGTGGAAGGCGTCCCTCTGGCACTGCGGCAGGCAGACCTCCGGGTTCAAAGGACTGGCGCTGAAGTTCTGGGGGCACAGCACTCCGTTTCCGCCCGAACTCTGGCCCGGGCTCTGAGGGGCCGTCTTCCAGAAGCGGTACATAGACGGCGGCGGACTCAGCTCCGGGTGGTTCTCCGCTACGGCTGCCGGTCTTTGAGTGGAAGAGCCTCCTTCCTCGGCCAGGCTTCCTTGAGCGGGCAGCTCCTCCGGAATCTGCATGCACAGCTCGTGCTTTTCCGGCTGGGGCAGGACCTCGCAGTTGAGGAACGAGGGCCACATCTCCATTAGATCCGCCGCAGAGCTGGCCGCGCACTCCCCCCGCACTGTTTCGCACAAGGACTTGCAGGCGGTGACGGGGCGTGGCACGTCCGGGGTGCAGAGCGGAAATAGGGCGGAGCAGAGCAGGAAACGGGCGCGTGGGGAGCACCCGGACTCGATCAAAGGCAGCAGCTTGGCAATCTGGAAGATGAGAAAATAGGGTCGTTTTAGATGGGAATTATTTTACAACAAATCAGTAAACAAATTTGAAAGGAATAGCCATTAGAGAGTAGTGTTTTAATTGCATGAACCAGATATACGGTTCCGAAAAATCCGCTCAACCTCCAACACCAATCACGTGCACAACATCCGCTGGCAAAACCATAAAAAAGCGAATGATTCTCGAGTTTTTATCAATTAACACTATTTAATTGTATCGACGGAACTTGAAAGGAGCTGCCGTCGAATAATTAGTTCCAAATTCGTTGTCCAAGATAGCCGAGAATAGAAAGAAAATAAACACACACTCGGAGAAAATGTAAGAATTGGATAATCAAGGTATTTGGGAGGCGATCAAGTAACCCAACTGCCCATCGCTCCACGTAATGTATAATCAACACACACTGTAAAAATTAGAATATATTAAAGCACAAAAATAAAACTAGAACATTAAAAAAATAAATTAAAAAAGACCGCCCTCCTCCTCGATTCTCATAGGAAGCACTCATAGGAGGCTTCTTAGCCTCTAAATTATTTTTTTTTATCAATTTTCATCTTCCAGAAGTTTATATTATTTCCTTAAATACTCTTTCTTTTTCTAGCAGTGCAGGTGTTTGGGGCAAGAACACGGATTCTGAAAATAATACGAATTCGCATTCCGGTTCACACCACTGTGTTGTCTTGCCATTGTGTTGTGCCGCCGCCTCTGATGTCTATAATTTTATCTAATAAAAATGCAATAAAAACTTAGTCAAACAGTCGGCCTTTGTTTTGTGTTTTCATTCGGCTTTGTTGTTCCGCCGACACGCCACCAGCAACAAAGTTAATTTAACAAATGCCGGCCATTTGCAACAATTGAGCCACACAATTGCAGTTTTTGTTTACACCGGTTAATGCCTGATATTAAATTAGCTGGAAATTGCAAAATTAGATCGTGTAATGCTAATGCTAATGCCAACGATTTGTGATGGCTTTTTCCACCTCACAGACTTTTAGGAGGGCGCTATCGACCTACGATATACTTTGGCTATTGGAGGCGGAGGTTTCCAAATGTGTTTCAGAATTTTGTGGATTTCCCCATTTTCCAAGAGGGTCCATCAGAAAAAATTTAAAAAAAAATCGAAAAAAATTAGCCTTCCCAGATTTGAATGCAGTTTTATAGAGAATTGATTCACGATTCCAGCAAGGTATCCCGTTTAAGGATCGGATAAATATTAACGAAGATAGAATCTTTCCAAGAAGCCATATTTGCGATTTTTGGATTTCCCCATTTTCCAAGAGGGTCCATCAGAAAAATTTAAAAAAAAATCGAAAAAAAATTAGCCTCCCAGATTTGAATGCAGTTTTATAGAGAATCGATTCACGATTCCAAAAAGGTATCCCATTTAAGGATCGGATAAATATTAACAAAGATAGGTCCATTTCAAAAGGCCATATTTGCGATTTTGTGGATTTCCCCATTTTTATAGGGGGTCCATCAGAAAAATTTGAAAAAAATCTAAAAAAAATAAGCCTCCCAGATTTGAATGCAGTTTTATAGAGAATCGATTCACGATTCCAACAAGGTATCCCATTTAAGGATCGGATAAATATTAACAAAGATAGGTCGTTTTCAAAAGGCGATTTTGTGGATTTCCCCATTTTCAAAGAGGGTCCATCAGAAAAATTTGAAAAAAATCGAAAAAAAATAAGGCTCCCAGATTTGAATGCAGTTTTATAGAGAATTGATCCACGATTCCAGAAAGGTGTCCCAGTTAAGGATCGGATAAATATTAACAAAGATAGGTTTTTTTTCAAAAGGCCATATTTGCGATTTTTGTGGATTTCCCCATTTTCCTAGGGGATCCATCAGAAAAATTTGAAAAAAATCGAAAAAAATTAGCCTTTCAGATTTGAATGCAGTTTTATAGAGAATTGATCCACGATTCCAACAAGGTATCCCATTTAAGGATCGGATAAATATTAACAAAGATAGAATCTTTCCAAGAAGCCATATTTGCGATTTTGTGGATTTCCCCATTTTCAAAGAGGGTCCATCAGAAAAATTTAAAAAAAATCGAAAAAAAATTAGCCTCCCAGATTTGAATGCAGTTTTATAGAGAATTGATTCACGATTCCAACAAGGTATCCCATTTAAGGATCGGATAAATATTAACTAAGATAGGTTCTTTTCAAGAGGCCATATTTGCGATTTTGTGGATTTCCCCATTTTCAAAGAGGGTCCATCAGAAAAATTTGAAAAAAATCGACAAAAAATTTGCCTCCCAGATTTGCATGCAGTTTAATATAGAATTGATCCACGATTCCAATGCGCTGCCCCGTTACGGGATCTGATGGATATTGACCACGATATAGAAATTGTTAGGGGCTCATTGGGTAGTGCTCCCTCCAAAGGGACTTCATAAAAATTCAAAAGCAAATCGATTGATTATTTCGCTTGGGTCTTTCGGTGGAGATTGTTTATTTTCCATTAGCAGGCTCACACGTATTTGTGCCGACTGCCGGGTGTGAAAACTTGCGTCAGACTTCACACATGGAAAAGCGTTGAAAAAAACGAACTAAAAAGAGAAACGCCGCTGCTGTCCAGTTAGGAGTTCATTCCATTTCCATTTACAGTCCCCGACTGCAATTAATTGTCAATTACTGGCCATGCAATCTAATAACTTCAAATGAAGCCCACATTCCCCCTTGGCGGATGCGAAATTAATCCTCTCAAGAAACGCAACCACACGGAGAGAAATTGGAGTCGACTAGAAGAGCTACTAGGAGCTGGGGTAGGAGCTACTTTGTGGCTAATATTTTACAGAGTTGCATGAAAAATGATGTCTGAAAAGTGCTTTTAATCAGGCCTGTGATGAGTGATCTATTTTTTGTGGAGCCTGCGCCAGGTCCCCATTGTCCGTGACACAAAAAGCCGACTCCGACTTCGACTCTGATGACGATGACGAACCAGACACATCAACATTTATGAGTTTGTGGAATTTTAGACGAGTCAGCGCGCTGAAGAGGCACAAAAACAGGACAACAACAGGGGCAGAGCTTGGGGCAGACAGAAAATGAAACGGATAAAAACGAACAGGATCACAAAAAGCTGCATCAAATTATCGAGATACGTTTTCTCAGGAAAGATGCCGGGCCGGACCGGAGCCGGGGACTCCTTTTGATAGCCGGTATCTTCGGCATCTTGGAGATCTGTGAGAGATGGAGGCGATGTCCGAGGGGACACGAGATGCTCCCAGAGCGGGACTTTTGACATGGATTTGATGGTTAGCCAGTTTGTGGGGCTCTGTGGCCTTTTCGTTATCGTTTTTTTTTTTTTTCGTCTTTTGTTGGCCAACAGTAACCGAATTGCGGCTGCTGTTGTATAATTAAGCCACATTAGGCGAAAAAGCATAAAAAGGGGGAGACGAAAACAAGGCTGGGGCCCAAGAATCGAGCCGGGACGGGCCAGGCCAGGCCGACCGGCGGGCATCTCGAATGGAGCATTAGACACGCGATTTCCAATTTTTGTAGCTTTTGTTTCGCCTTCCATCCCGCTCTGAAAAATAGCTGCCAGCAATAATAATTTAATGATGCAGCCGGCAAGTGAACCTTCATCATCATCATCATCGTCTCCATCATGGTACTGGGATGATCATTGGCGAGAACTGGCTGGGATTTTGAGGCAGGAAGGTGCATACAGTGGGTCCTGCAGACTCATAGATAGTATTTCAAGCCATACCTCCCCAAGAAGTATAGCATATTTTTTGTTAAATTTAAAGATATGATTTTAATTTTTATTTTTAAACTTTATTTTTAAGAACCACTTTTTTTAACCCTCCCACTGTGGTTCGATTAGGTCTTGGGTTTAGGGCCATAACCGAACCAAGTGTCTAAAATGTATTATTAATGCAAAAGGGCAATGCTTGGCCATGATCATCATCATACCTTGGTCATAATGATGGCCAGAACCGCCCCCTCCCTCCTGCACCTCCTCCCTATCTCCGCAGCGAATGCAATCTGCAACGCTTTGAGCATTTTTTTTTCGTGCTTCTCCTCTTCGATTTTCGTTATTTTTTAAAGGCTGTTTTGTTGCCTTTTTTTTTTTTTTTGGTTGGGGCCACGCAAAAGCCAAAACGAAGAGTTGGCGATTCGCCGCGCCTCGCTGTCCACCCGACAAAAGCGACAAATTCGTTGTGGTCGCAACACAAAAATAATCATTATTACTGACAAGGCGAGAGGAGTTATCTCCCAAACTTAGAAAACGTACTTCTAGCTTGAATATTTATTTGGGTTTTATTTTTAAAAAAAATTCATATCTCTCTCCTCAAAAAGTTCTGCTTAATTTACTTAAAAAATTTCGTTTGGCGGCTGGATGCTGCCCCACTCCTCCTCCTCCGCCCCTTCCAATTTTGTCTCGGTTTTTGGGTTTTTTCTTCTTTTTCTTCGATTCGTTGGGGCTCGACTCGCGGCTATTTCTTTTAATTTTTGTCTTTCAGTTTCTTTTTTTTTTGTCGGCCTGGGTTTCTTTGGCAGCTTGGTTCACACTTTTTTTTTGGGCAAAGACTGGCCTGGATGGCTGGCTGGTTGGCTGGCTGGCCCGACGAAAAAACATTTAATTTTGTTCAATTTGAGTTATTTGACGGGCTCCCCGCCCCACCACCTCGGCCGTGTTCACAATTCAATTACAAGGCCCAGAACAGCAACAACAATGGCCGGGTTGACACCTCTTGGCCTAAACGCGGACTTAATGATTTTACAATTTTGATTAATGATCTCGGCCGGCGAGCAACACACAAATAAAATTGCTCAGCGGTATTTTCGGCTTTGAATATATTGTATTTTCGGAAAGAAAAAAGAAAGGAGATTTTTTTTTTGGAACTCTGCAACGTATTCCAACTCTGCAACTAAATGGTTCTTACAAGTAAGGTCTTGAGAGGCAAGGAAACCTGCAACGAATCGAGGCACCTCGAAAGCCCGACTGTGTTCATTCATTAACAACG